ATCCTTGATCCAAGAAAAAAAAAGATTTACTTTGATTGGATGGTAAAGGAATGATTTGGGATTGAAAGAGCTAGGTGTTTGTTTTTGAATATAATATCCACATTTTCTTCATTATTTGATTTTTATGCTTCTTCAATGCATAAACCAGAGAATATAGCCACATTAGGTGGTTCAAGTTTAACTTCAACTACCGGATTTTATAATGAGGACATTGAAAATGAAAAAATGTTTGATTTTTCAGAGTATTTGGGAAACACATTTAAAATAAAAGTAAGAGCTGAAATAAGCAAGAAAAAGGTTGAGTGGAAAAAATATTAGGAAAGTAAATCTAATGAATCATGCCCAAATATGCTGGATTTATGGAAGGATAACAAAAATAAATATCTTACACTTGCTAAGACAGGCCTTGTTAAGGAGCGTTACGCTGTTTGAATTTTTTGCATGTATTCACAGGCCTTGTTTTAAATTAAAAAAAGCCTAACACATTAGCTTAACGCGATATTTTACATCATAAAATTATTTTTATTATTTTTATAGACGTTAAGTGTTTTAACGTTTACTACTGCAATAAATAAATAACCGTTAACTAGTTCAATTTAATTCAAATAACTATAAACGTTTTAAATATAAATATATTATTTAAGGTTTTATGTTATCAATTGTTATTCTAATATTAATATTATTTGTTAAAAAAAATTAAATATATGTTTTAATTTTTTTTTTTTTTTTTATTTGCATTCACTCCCAACAAGGCTGTAAGCAACCACTATTAAGTTGGGAGTTACTAAGAAAAAAAAAAGAACAGAATTATAGAGCAAGGAAACGGTTAACAGAAGACTTGAAAAGTTGAAGGTTGTATGAGTCAGGAAAACATGAAGATGGGAGAGAGTTCCAAAGGATTGAAGTGCGGGGAAAAAAACTAATTACTTCTGAAATTTGTTTTTAAATAATTATTGTTTATAAATCGTTATTGAATAAAAAAAAAATAAGAATTTTTTATTTTCAAAAAATAGAAACAAAAAATATTAACATATTGATAAACAAAACCCTTGTTAATTATTTAAACAGCAATTTTGTTTTGACTAGCAAAGAATAATTTAGGTATTTGAGTATTTTTTAAATTTATGTTGCTTAGCATTTTAACTTGTATTGTATAAAAGCTTAGCATTTTAACTTGTATTGTATAAAAGTTTCATGTCTTTAGCATATTTTTGATACGTTGTTTAGAACGCGTTCGTCAGGAATTTAATTTATACATTTTTGAAATTATTGTAAAAATGTTTTACATTATATAAAAATTACAAAGAAACACAGAGCTGTAGAGAAAAATCGTTTTTAATGAATAATTTTTTTTTTCTTTTCGAGTTTAAAAAATTAAAAAAATAAATTAAGTTAAATATAAAAGTCTTAAGTTAATTATTCTTCGAACAAAAAACTTTTTAAATACTTCTACGCATTACTTTAATCATGCAAACTAAAAAGATACTTAACTAAAAAAATATAAGTATATTTAGCAATTTGAATCGTATCTGTTTATAATAAACACTCATTAAAATTTGTTCATTAAAAATTAAGTTCCTTAATTTATAAACAAACTCAAAAGTATTTTCATTCTACGTATAATTACGAAACCTTTTTTTTTTTCTGTAAGCAATTTAATTTGTAATAATAAAATAAAAAAATTAAAATTATGAGGTAATTTTTGCTAAGTATAAATTTAATTTATTAATCGAACAATATTTTAATTTTTTATTTATAAACTAACTTAAGTAAAATATACTAACATGTTAAAATATTTTAACATGACTTTTGTCATTTAATGTGATCTTTATCAAAATAAAATATTATCCAAAACCATTGGTTTTGGATAATATTTTATTTTGATGAAGATCACATTACTTAAAGTTAGTTTTAATAACGTAAGTCTTCTCTTTTTCTGTGATAGTTTCAGTTCGAAAAGCATCGGCAAAGTTTCAGGATTTAAAAGTTTTCAAAGTAAATCTTTTGTCCTTCAAAATACAATCCATATTCAATTAATTTGGAGAGAATAGAATTATACTAGGTTTTTATATACTAGTTTGTCTTATTTTATATAGATACATAGTCATTTGTTAAGAATAGAGACTGTCATTAAACTAAATAATTAGTTAATGGTAATTTTTTTTTTTCTCTGTACCGGAAGGAAAGGGAAGTTCCCTTCCCTCACATAACTTAAAGGTAAAGGTATCTATATACCTTTAACTAATAAGAAAAGCCAATAGTAATAATCAATTAAAAAGTAATTTTTAGTACAATAGAAATAGATTGTTCATTCATTTGCACATTTTTTTTAATATCTCAAAAAAATGTCTTGATATTTTTGTAATCATAATAACAAAAATATTAAGACATTTTTTTGAGATGTTAAAAAAAATGTCAATCCTTAACTACAAATTTTTTGCAAATATTTTTAATGAAAATTCAGTAAAAAAACTCTATATTTCAAAAAAAATTTATATTCTGTATAAATAAATTTGGAATATAAATTTTTTTAATGTTTTTTACTGAAAACTTTAAAAAAATAACTACTTTTTATTAAAAACATTTTAAAAAAATTTGTAGTTAAGAATTGGCGAACAATTTTTTTAAAATTAATTGCGAA